TGGAGATAGCCCTGGGAAAGTTCTTAGCATATATGTTGCTGCTAGTTGCCACTGAGTTGATTCCAACTCATGGCAACCCCATAGGGTTTTCAAGGCTGTGACCTTTCAGAAGCAGATTGGCAGGCTTGTCTTCCGAGATGCCTCTGAGTAAGTTTGATCTGCCAACCTTTCAGCTAATAGTTGAGTGCTTAACCATTTGCATCACCCAGGGACTCCTCTCAGCACATAGAGGTGATATTTAATGCCGTGAGCTTGGATGAGCTTATTCTGGGAAGCAGGGGATGGGTGTGGATGGAGAAGCGGCCCAATGACTGACTCCTGGGGTCCTCAGTCAGAGATCAAACACAAGACGAGGAGTGGGCAGAGGAGTCTGAGGAGAAGTGGCCAGTGGGGAGGGAGGGAAACTGAGAGTGGGATGTGGCATCCTGGAACATGAGTGAAATCCCCACGTGTCAGGAGGAGGGAGTGAGCAGCTGTTTCAGATGCTGTGAGGGGTCAAGTTAGATAAGGAATGAGAATACGTGCTGGGTTTGGCAGCGAGATGATGGTAGCCTAGACAAGAGCAGTTGGGATACAGGCCAGTGCAGAGGGATGGGATTGGCAAAAACCTGACAGGATTGGGATTAAGAGAGAAGAGTAGGAGAGGAATTGGAGAAAGTGAGCATAGACAAAGGGGAGAGGAAATGGGGATGTATGGGGTAGGGAAAAGGAAAGACAAAAAAAGAACAAAATGTAAAAGGAAGACAGAAGAAGAACTGATGCATTCAAATTGTAGTGTCGGTGAAGAGTATTGACCATACTGTTGTCTTAGTTATCTAGTGCTGGTATAACAGAAATACCACACGTGGATGGTTTTAACAAAGAGAAATTTATTTCCTCACAGGAAAGTAGGCTAAAAGTTCAAATTCAGAGCATCAGCTCTGGGGGAGGGCTTTCTCTCTCTGTCTACGTTCTCATCAATCTTTGCCCAGACTAGGAGCTTCTCTGCACAGGGACCCCGGGTCCAAAGTATGTGCTCTGCTCCTGGCACTGCCTTCCTGGTGATATGAGGTCCCCAACTCTCTGCTTGCTTCCCTTTCCTTTTATCTGTTGTAAGATAAAAGGTGGTGCAGGCCACACCCCAGGGAAACTCCCTTTACACTGGATCAGGGATGTGACCTCAGTAAGGCAGAACTTCGAGCAGTGCATCTGGTTGTTCATGGTGGTTGGAAGGAGAAATGGCCACATGTGCAATTATATACTGATTCATGGGCTGTGGCTAAAGGTTTGGCTGGATGGTCAGGGACTTGGAAGGAACATGATTGGAAAATTGGAGACAAGGATTTATGGGGAAGAGGTATGTGGATAGACCTCTCTGAATGGGCCAAAGAAGTGAAGATATTTGTGTCTCATGTGAATGCTCACCAAAGGGTGACCTCAGCAGAGGATGATTTTAACAATCAAGTGGATAGGATGATGCCTTCTGTGGAAACCAGTCATCCTCTTTCCCCAGCTACTCCCATCATTGCTCAATAGGCTCATGAACAAAGTGGCCATGGTGGCAGGGATGGAGGTTATGCATGGGCCCAGCAACATAAACTTCCACTCACCAAGGATGACTTGGCTACAGCCACTGCTGAGTACCCAATCTGCCAGCAGCAGAGACCAACACTGAGTCCCCAGTATGGCATCATCCCTCGAGGTGATCAGCCAGCAACCTGGTGGCAAGTTGATTACTTTGAACCACTTCCATCATGGAAAGGGCAGCGTTTAGTCCTTCCTGGAATAGACACTCTGGATATGGATTTGCCTTCCTGTATGCAATGCTTCTGCCACAACTACCATCTGTGTACTTGCAGAATGGGTTACCCACTGTCATGGTATCCCACACAGCATTGCCTCAGATGAAGGGACTCACTTCACAGCAAATGAAGTGTGGCAGTGGGCCCATGCTCATTGAATTCACTGGTCTTACCATGTTCCCCATCATCCTGAAGCAGCTGGCTTGATAGAACGATGGATTGAATGGCCTTCTAAAGACACAATTATGGTGCCAGCTAGGTGGCAATACCTTGCAGGCTTGGGGCAATGTTCTCAGGGAGGCTGTATATGCTCTAAACCAACATCCAATATATGGTGCTGTTTCTCTCATAGCTAGGATTCACAGGTTCAGGAATGAAGGGGTGGAAATGAGAGTGGCACCAGTCGCTATTACCCGTAGTGAGCCACTCGCAAGATTTTTGCTTCCTGTCCCCGTGACCTTATGCTCTGCAGGTCTAGAGGTCTTAGTTCCTAAGGGAGGAATGGTACCACCTGGAGACACATCATTGATTCCATTGAACTAGAAGCTAAGAATGCCACCTGGCCACTTCGGGCTCCCTATGCCTCTGGATCAACAGGCAAAGAAGGGAAGTTACCATACTGGCTGGTATGATTGATCCTGACCACCAAGAGGAAATCGGATTGATATTACATAATGGAGGTAAAGAAAAGTATGTCTGGAACGCAGGAGCTCCCTTACGGCGTCTCTTAGTACTACCGTGTCCTGTGATTTAGGTCAATGGAAAACTACAGCAACCCAATTCAGATATGACTACTAATGACCCAGACCCTTCAGGAATGAAGGTTTGGGTCACCCCACCAGGCAAAGAACCATGACCAGCTGAGGTGCTTGCTGAGGGCAAAGGGAATACAGAATGGGTGGTGGAAGAAGGTAGTTCTAAACACCAGTTATGGCCACGTGACCAGTAGCGGAAACGGGGACTGTAATTATTATGAGCATTTCTGCTTTGTATGTATGCATCAAATATTTTCATTTCCTTCACTTATAAAATATAAGATGTAAATGGGGCTAGTGTGTTTTCGATTGTATGCATGTTAGTTGTACCATGTTGGGTGCAAGTATGACTTTCTAATTGTCTTTATTCAGAGATTAAATGTGGTTTGGGGAGATGTGTACAGGTGGCCAGTCAACAAGGGGTGGACTGTGATGGTTAAAATTGTATGTCAACTTGGCTAGACCATGATTCTCAGTGTTTATATGTGATCACTCCCATGACTGAATATGCTGTGAGTAGCGAATCTGTTGAAATTTGATAAGTGATCACCTTCTTGATGGAATCTGCTGAGTGGTACCAATGGGGGCAGGGCCTGTGGTGGCTCACCAACCCCTCAGCCTTCATCTCTCCGCCCTCCACTGGCTACTTCCTTCCTGCTTGCCTTGCCAAAGTTTTTGGCTTGTTCTGGATCCACAGGTGCCTCTTGTCATCTCACCTCTGGTTCATGGGACTGGAGCTTAGCAGCCAACTGCTTAACCATTAAGAAATGTAAATCTTGACAGACTACTTAGAAAACATTTTGACTCTCTCTTTTTAACACTAAGACTATACATCCTCTTCAATCCAGGAACCTCACTCCTGGGAAATTACCCTAAGGAAATAAAGTCCCAGTTACCTGAGATTATGGAATCCCTGAATGGTGCAACCAGTTACGTGCTCAGCTGCTAACCAACAGGATGGCAGTTCGAATCCACCCAGAAAGGTCTGGCGATCACAGCCATTGAAAATCCTATGGAGTGCAGTTCTACTCTGAAATATATGGGGTAGCCGTAAGTTGGACTCGAGATTATATGTAAATTAATGAATGTTATAGTATATTTTGGTAAGGATAAATGAAAACAGAGGGAATGGCAATGAATACGGGACTGGTGGAATAAATTGCTGGAAAAACAAAAACAAACAGAACAACGGAGGAGGAAGGCCCTCAACTTGCTGAGGCTTCACCAGTCACACGGGGTGAGAGCAGACATCCTCTGAGGATCAGGGCGGCTGGCAGTTCCGACTCTAGGACTGTGGAGTGACTCCATCCCTCCTGGCTGTCCCTCTGGGAGGGCAGTGGTAGCTCCACCGGGGGCGGGGGGTCCCTGGACAGGGCTTGCATTTCCATCTCTCCTCCCCCTGGACAGGGCATGAGCACCACGGCAGCCCAGCCTGTCCCATCCCTGTGTCAGTTGCCACTGCACACCCCCAGGTCCCCCAGCGTCCCTCGGTGGCTAGAGTGATGCTTGCCACAGATGCTCTGGCAGGTGTAGGTTGCCCACAGGTGAGCAGGTGGGCAGGCAGGCAAGTGCCACGCAGCTCTGGGAGGCCTGCGGGAGCCCCTGGCAGGGAAGTCTGCCTTCACGCCCGCTGGGACCCTCTGTCGGGCCTGCTGGTCTCTAGCCTCTCCAGCCTGGTATGCCACATGTGACCTCTGTGGCCCGCTCTGGGAGGCCCAGTGAGTGACATTAGGGTCGTGGCTCCTGCCTCCTATCATCTCAAACCCCTCACCCTCTCCCCAACTGATCCTGGCAGGAGTGGGGTGGGGTGAGGAGAGAGGACTGCCTGAGCGCCCTGGGGACACAACCAGCCACTGCCCACACCCAAGAGCACCCATCCTTCTGGCCTAGGACACCCCACAGCCCCTCACAGACCCTGCCCTGACCACACCCCAATGCGGCCTCTAGTGTCGGGGTACCAGCCACTGCCCCCATCCCCGCCCCCCGCAGGCCCTCCCCTCCATTGCCCACAGCAGAGGCCAGACTCAGCAGAAACACTCAACGAGATTTATTGAAGAGAAACACTTAACAGGAACCGTTGCAGGGAAGGGAATCACAACAGAGAGGGGACGTATAAACACCACCAGAGGCCACGGGGCCTCCCTCCTCCCAGGGGCCCTAACGAGGAGCCTCAGGCCCCCCCCCCCAGTGCGGAACTCCCCACCTCTCCCTGCCCGGGGCACCCAGGCTCTGCCTCCTGTCAGGACGATGGACTCTGGTAATGTCCACTCACTTCAAGGGACCCCTCCCTGGCCCACCCACTGGGACATGGCCCCACGGGAGAGTCACAGATGAACACTGGAAAACACAGCAGAGCACACCACGTCGAGGAAACTGAGTCACAAACAATAGCTGGGATGGAGCTTCAAGCACAGTCTCCGAGGGGCTTTCACCCCCGTCCCTGGTCTGTTCTTCCTTCCCGCGGTCACTCGCGGGGTGAGGGTGGCCACTCCCGCATCCGTCCTTCCCGCTGTCTTCCGGGACTGGGCCGAGGTCTCCGGGGAAAAAACTGCTCGGATAAGCACACACGCACCTCCCCAAGAACAAGCAACCGTTGCCCAGAATCTCTACCGGGAAAGCAGAGGCTGAGCGCCCGACCCAGTGGACGGGAGCGGGGGAGGACGTCCCCAGATGCGCCTGGTCTGGGTGCCTCTGGGCAGGTGTGGGGCCGGGGGCTGCGTGGTGGCGCTGCAATGGGGAGGGGCCCCTTCCCCCTTGGAAGGACTGAGGGGGTGGCCGACCCTAGAGGGAGGGGGTGGGGCCTGGGGGCAGGATGTGGCAGGCAGGCCCTTCCCTCTGCCCTGCTGCTGTCCTGGGGCCAGGAGGCCACCGCGGCCTGGCCTGAACCCACCGCCCCCAGGGCTCTGCTGCCTGAGAGGAGCGGGGGCCCCGGGGCCGTCTGAGCCTACCGGTCCGAGCAGGAGGACTCAGGCAGGCTCATCGCGCCAGCCTCGCCCTCGTTTTCCGACTCCTCCAGGATGGGCTGGAGCCGCTCGTCGGGAGGCTCCTCGGCCTCCACGGCCTCTGGGTCTCCTGCCTGGGCGAGGCCCTCAGGCCCACAGCCTGGGGCTCCTGCGCCTGCCCCAGGAACACTGCTCACCTGGGCTGGGGCGCTGCCCACACTGGCCCCAGGGGCCTCTGCAGACCCTGCCTGCCCTATGCTGGCAGGGGCAGGGGCAGGGGCAGGGGCAGAGGCAGGGGTAGGGGCAGGGGCAGGGGCAGCTGCAGGGGCATGTCCGCCCCCCTCCACCACCACTGCCTTGTCACCCTCTTCCCCAGGGTTGGCTCTGGCCTCTGCCTGGGCCCCGGCCCCAACCCCTTCCTCTGCCTGGGCCCTCTCATTCCTGAGTAGAATGGCTTCCCACGACTCGGACTCCCGGACGAGCCCCAGCATCTCCAGGAAACTGGGGGCCCTCCCGACCAGCCTCAGCTTCCGCAGCGCTTCGTCCAGCGGCTCCACGAGGGTGGCCTTGGTGAGCACCTGCCTCAGGCGCAAGTGGTCGGCCAAGGCTCTGGCCAGGGCCCCCTTCTCGATGGCTTTCTGCAGCAGGACCTCCAGCCGCAGCACGAAGGCAGAGAGGCGCTCGCCTCGCCTCTGCTGAGCGGTCAGACACCTCAGCCGCGTGGCCGCCACGGAATCAGTGTCCCCGAACACCTGCACCAGGGCGGCCAGGCACTCCCGCGCCGTGCGCGCTGGGTTCTCAGCCAGGAGCCCGCGCACCAGCTGCAGGGCGGTGCCACGCAGGCCCTCGAGCAGCCGCCGCCGCCGCTCCCTCTCCGAGACCGCCTGCCACACGTGCAGCATGTCGCTGGCGTGGTCCAGCCAGGCCTCGAAGGGCTCCTCCCCCGGGCCCGGCTCCTGGCGCCCGGAGAACACGCCCAGGCGCTGGTAGCGCACGGTCTCCACCCAGGGCTGGACCGCCTGGCTGACCGAGCGCAGCCAACACACGCGCCGCAGCCCCAGCCCCAGGGCGCCGGCCACGCTCTCCACCGTCTGGCCCTGCTGCTCGAGGAAGTGGAACACGCGGCCCAGGACCTCCTCGCCCGAGCAGCGGGGCACACACACCACGCGCCAGGGCCCCCCGCTGCCCGGGACCTCTCGGGGCACCAGCGCGTAGTCCACCTCCTGGGCCAGCTCCACCAGGGCCGCGGCGGCGTTGTCCTCCTCGCGGAACACCCGCCCGAGCACGGAGAAGCGGCCGAGCGGCCAGAGCGCGGCCTCCAGGGCCTCGTGCACCTCGGCCTCCTCGCAGTCCTCCGGGATGCCCAACACCAGCAGGCCCCTGCGCGCGCTCACGCCCATCCACCGGCACCAGTCACGCAGCATCGCCACCGCCATGGCGCCTGGCGCGGCTCAGTTCCCGGCGCGGAGCAGGCCTGGGAACGCGACCGGGAGAGCAGGTCAGTGCCGCCCCCGGACCCTCCCCGGCCACCCCCCTTCCGCCCTGCGGGGGCCGCCGCGTCCCACAGGGGCAGAGGGCGCGGGGCCGCCGCGGCGGGAGCCCCTTCCTCCTTCTCGTTCCTTCTCGTACCTTCTCTGGGTCGCCGCCTTCCCGGCAGGAGGGGCGCGGGGGCGGGGGCGGGGGTGGCGCGGTCTCGCTTCGTCTGCCTGTCGTCCTCGCCCGTCGGCCGGTC